CACACACACACACACACACACACACACACACACACACACACACACACACACACACACACACACACACAGAGAGAGAGAGAGAGAGAGAAACAACATTATACACTGGAGGCCCAGCAGCAGTCAAACAGAGAACAGCACCACCGCGCCTCAGCATCCCGGGTCAATGACGAGGACCGTGTCGGTGTTGTGTGGAATGCCGTAGATGAGACCGTTGTTGGCAAGAACACCATCCCACCACTTGCCTCCTGATGCATCAAGGTAAGAAATGGTCGTTGTATCGACGGTGTTGGTGGATGGATCCAAAATGAATACCGCTGGGGAATAAAATGGAATGCCGATGACGTTGCCGTTTGGGGCTGGCACAGCGCCAATCCACTGAATGTCTGTTTGCTCCTCCTCGGCAACACCGACTTTGGTCGTGGTGTTGGTGGATGGGTCGATGACAAGCCTTGTGAAGACGCGGCCAGCAATGGTGAAAATGAGGCCGTTGCTGGCAAGCACACCACCGTAACCTCCGCTACTTCTCTCTGCACTGACTATTTGGATGGTGAGGGTCGCGGGGTTGATGACCAGGATCGACGATAAGTACACGGGCATACAGTAGATAAGGCCGTTGGGCAATTGCACGCCACTGTACCACTTAATTTGTGTGCCGACTACACGTAGCGTGGTGGCATCAGCAGTCTTGGTACTTGGGTCGACGATCAGCACAGAATCGCCTCTGCTGGGGATGCCAAAGATGAGGCCGTTGTCGGCCGCGATACCACTCCACCACTTATCGGCTCCAGAGCCAAGCGACGCAATGCTTGTCGTGTCAGATATGTTCGTGTTGGGGTCGATGATGAGCATGCTTGCCCTGCTTGACGGGAACATGTAGACGAGACCAGTGTGGGCCACAACTGCACCGGCCCACTTGTTGGTGTCTGTCCCAAGCCCAGAGATGGTGGTCGTGTCCACTGTGTGCGTACTCGGGTCGATGATGAGAACGGAGTCCGCATTGAACGGAACGGCATAGATCAAGCCGTTGCTGCCAAGCACGCCGCCCACCCACTTGTTGTTGCTTGAGCTGAGTTGTCCGAAGGTATCTGCGCTGGCACTGCACACCTCAGCTCTCAGCGCGTCGATCCTTGCTTGGTTCAAGCTGATCACGTCCTGCCGCTTGGCAATCATACTGTGCTGTGCCTGCACGTTTTGCTGGTGCTCCTGCAGCATGCTCTGCTGCGCTGTGACCATCTCGAACAGCGCATCCACATTCATTCCGTTCACAAACACGGGTTGGCTCGCTGGATCGCTGGTGTTGATGTGAAGCGCGCCCGCATCATCCTCCACCATGGTCACCTCTCCAACAACGCTGCTGATCTTGAACGGCATCCAGCACACTGCAACCGCCAGCAACGCGAGGAGCAACCCACCACGTGCCTGCAGGCAGCCTGTTCTCTTGCCCTGCTTCATTCTCTTCGTGCGAACAGCTCATGTCAACAAGTCAAGACCACAGAACCAAAGGAGAGAAGCGAGTTCTTCAGCTTCTCCCTCCTCCTCTGGCACAGTTGGGAGAGTTGCTGGATGATATGCCTGTATTTCTGCACTGGCGCAGACAACAGAACGACAAGCAACAAGCAAGAAGCAAGCAAGATGCTGCGCGTTGTTGGTGGCGGCGGCGGCGGTGGTGGAGAGCAGACACATCAGCTTCAGCATGAGCAGGGTGAGCACCAGCACGACGGCGCTGTGGCTGCTGCGGATGGGATTGTGGTGCTGCCGCTTGGCGCGGGCCAGGATGTTGGGCGAAGCTGCATCATCGTGGAGATGAATGGGCGGACAATCATGTTTGATTGTGGGATGCACATGGGCTACAACGACGACCGGCGGTTTCCGGACTTTTCCGTGCTGGCGGACGGCGATCTCACGTCGCGGATCGATGTGGTCATCATCAGCCACTTCCATCTGGACCACTGCGGCGCGCTGCCGTTCTTCTCGGAGATGTGCGGGTATGACAAGCCCATCTACATGACCTACCCGACCAAGGCCATCTGCCCGCTGCTGCTGGAGGACTACCGCAAGATCTCCGTGGAGCGCAAGGGCGAGCGCAACTTCTTCACCAGCCAGATGATCAAGGACTGCATGAGCAAGGTGCAGCCGGTTGACCTGCACCAGTCGGTGACCCTGCCCGGTGACATTGAGATCAAGGCGTACTACGCCGGCCACGTGCTCGGCGCCGCCATGTTCCACGTGCGCGTCGGCGACAAGAGCGTGGTGTACACGGGCGACTACAACATGACCCCCGATCGGCACCTGGGCACGGCCTGGATCGACTTCTGCCAGCCCGACGCCATCATCACGGAGTCCACATATGCCACGACCATCCGCGACTCCAAACGCTGCCGCGAGCGCGACTTTCTCACCAAAGTGCACCGCTGCGTGAAGAACGGTGGGAAGGTGCTCATCCCCGTGTTTGCCCTCGGGCGGGCGCAGGAGCTGTGCATCCTGTTGGAGACGTATTGGGAACGCTACAAGCTGGACACGCCCATCTACTTCTCCACGGGTCTGACGGAAAAGGCAAACGAGTACTATCGGCTCTTTGTCATGTACACCAACCAGAAGATCAAGGACACCTTTGTGGACCGCAACCTGTTTGACTTCAAACACATTCGTGCGTTTGATCGCTCGTATGCGGACCAGCCCGGACCCCAGGTCCTCTTTGCCACGCCGGGCATGCTGCACGCCGGTGTTGCTCTCGAGGTCTTTGCCAAGTGGGCCGGCGACCCACGCAACATGGTGCGTTGCTGTGTGTGTATGTGTGTGTGTGTGTGTGTGTGTGTGTGTGTGTGTGTGTGTGTGTACTTGAGTGAGCAAGAATGTGAATGCGTAACCCCCCTCTCAACTTATCCACCATCCACATCCAACACGTCTTGTAGGTGATTCTTCCCGGCTACTGCGTTGCTGGCACCGTCGGCGCACAAGTACGAGTGTGCGTTGTGTCGATGTGTGCGTGTGTGCGTGGGTACATGCTTGTGTGTGTTCCGGTGCTCGCACCAGTTTGTCTCTTGTCCCTTCTTCCTTCAATTCCACTTGCTGATGCTGGCGTGCGCTCATCTGCGTGCTGTGTGCACGTGCTGCTGTTCCCCCAGGTGATTGCGGGGAAGAAAGAGATTCGCGTTGGCCAGCAGATGGTGAATGTGCGGCTGCAGGTGGAATACCTCTCCTTCTCCGCACACGCAGACGCAAAGGGTGTGTGTGTGTATGTGTGTGTGTGTGTGTATGTGTGTGTGTGTGTGTGTGTGTGTGTGTGTGAATGAGTGAGTGTATGAGTGAGTGAGTGTGCGGTCCAGTGACTCACAATGCGCACCACAACCCAAGCAACACGTGCTCCACACCTCCTGCAGCTAACATGCGTCTGACGTTTCCCTCATGCAGGGATCATGACGCTGATCAAGCAGTGCGGCGCAAAGAATGTCGTCCTCGTCCACGGAGAGAAGGTGGCGAATGCGCGCGCGCGCGTGCGTGTGTGTGTGTGTGTGTGTGTGTGTGTGTGTGTGTGTGTGTGTGTGTGTGTGTGTGTGTGTGTGTGTGTGTGTGTGTGTGTGTGTGTGTGTGTGTGTGTGTGTGTGTGTGTGTGTGTGCCTGCGTGTGTATGCGTGTGTATGCGTGTGTATGCGTGTGTGTGCGTGCGTGTTCTTGAGTGTTGAGCTTGACCATTTCCCATTTCTACTACTGCATCGGTGGTGGCGTCGCGTTCTCACGCAAACGCCCATTCACGTGCGCGTGCTTATTGTGGCGGCGGAGTGCAGAAGAAGATGGAGTTCCTGGCAGACCGCGTCAGGAGAGAGCTCGACACGCCTTGCTTCTTCCCAAAGAACGGTATGTGTGTCGGCGGAAGGGACACGGCTTGAGAGGGGCGAGGGACAGGTACAGAGGCGTGCTGGTTCGTTCCTACATCCGACGCACACACACACACACACACACACACACACACACACACACACACACACACACACACACACACACACACACACACACACACGCTCACACACACACACGCTCACACCCATCCTACGCGTGCCATTGCTGCTGCAGGCGAGCGGTTACAGATCAGCGTTTCGCCGCCGGTCCCCATCGACATTTCGAACCAGCTCCTCACACGTGCACCCGTGCTCCACACGAAGCATGGTGGGCTGGCCGTGGGACACACGTGTTGAAGATGGAAAGAGGAACAGCGGTGGTGGTGGTGATGACGGTGATGATGATGTTGTTGTTGCACCTGCCACGCTACTGCATTTGTTTAGTGATGTCCACCTGCCACGACGACGACAACAACATTCCCACGCACGCATATTCTCACACGTTCACGCGCGCACACTCGCGCGTCTGCAACTTCAACAATCGTTCGTTATCATCACAGGACCGATTCGCCCGCAGGAAGTGCGCGTGCACGGCGTTCTTCTCCGTCACTCCACATCATTGAAGGTGTCTTCACACGTGTGCTGTAGTTGCCCTGCCTGCTTGCATGCATATTTGACCGTTTGATGAGTCTCAGCACTCAGACACACTCACACACTCACACACATATGTACGCACACACACTCGTACACACACTCACACACACTCATACACACACACTCACACACTCACACACACTCATACACACACATGTACGCACAGGTGGTGTCGCATCGGGAAGCGAGTTCTCGTGGTGTGGACGTGCACACAATCACATTCAAACAGACGCTCAAGACGCCCGCGCTGACACCCACATCACTGGAGGCAGCGCTCACGGCATGGGTGAGGTGTTGTGAACTGCCTGGTCGCTGGGGTGTGCACGAAGGGTTGTCGTCTGATTGTCGTTGTTGTCATTTGTGTGGAAACGCTGTTCACGTGGTACGCTCACACACACACACACACACACACACACACACACACACACACACACACACACACACACACACACACACACACACACACACACACACACACACACACACACACACAACACGTGGCCACTCTCATCTGCAGTGCAAAGAGCACGACATGTTCCTGCGGCGGCTGGGCGACACGGCGTTCAGGATACGCGGCATTGAAGTCCAGCACCTCGGGCGCCGATGTGTCGTCACCGCCACCCAGTCGGTCAGTTCAGCCGCACATGACATGTGTGTGTGTGTGTGTGTGCTCTCTCTGTGTGCGTTTGTGCTCTCTCTCTCTCTCTCTCTCTCTCTCTCTCTCTCTCTCTCTCTCTCTCTCTCTCTCTCTCTCTCTCTCTCTCTCTCTCTCTCTCTGTGCGTCGTAACCGCTCAACGCTCACTCTTCCCCTGCCATCCACGCAATGTCACCAGGACAAGCACCTGTTGTCTGATGTGCAGAGCGCGATTCGCGACGCTGCGCTGTCGTGACACTGCCACACGATATGTGGAAGCACATTTGTTCGTTGTATTGTGATGCCGAACAGCACACGTGTTGCACGCTCTCGCTCCCTGACTCTCTGTTATGAAGATGAAGATAAATGCACTGCGCTGGACTAACACAAGACAGCAAGCAATGAAGCAAGGTGGCACAGGCACCCAACAAGCAGTCAAACACACAAACACACACACACACACACAACACGCACGGATACAAACACTCATATGCGTGCTCTCGCACACACACACACACACACACACACACACACACACACACACACACACACACACACACACACACACACACACACACACACACACACACTCTCTCGCGTTTGCGGGGCGGGACAGCCTTTTTTTTGTGGGGGTCGG